AAAAAGAGCTTCCTAAAGAAGCTGGTATTAACAATTTAAGATTGTGCACAGTGCCATTTAATAATGTATAACATTAAAAAGTTGAAAACTCCAGATTCTGTAAGATCAAGGTTGTTACCTCACTAGCAGCAGCCTTAAATCGCACATAAAGAACGGAGGCTTCCACACCCTCAGAAAGAGCAGATTTACCATGGCCACTATCCCGAAGGGCTATGTTTACCTAATAAAGAAGAATATAAATTATAAATAGCAGGCATGCACATACTATGTAACAAAGGAAGTTTGATATGCATGTGCAACGTTATAAATAAATGAGGAATCTCTTCAATACAGCATTAAATCCGTAAAAGAAATCACTCCACCAAGTTTCAACTCCATTCCCAAAAATTCCAACAACTTGAACAAAATTTGCATAGAGATCCATTAGCTCTTTTTGTAATATCCTTTTAAGAAACTCCATCAATAATAACCCTTTGGTGGTTCCTCATCGCAAGGCAAATATTATTGCACAACGGTATTTTCAAAAGAGGGCGTCAAATCATGCTGAGTTAAATTACACTGTCCAAATCATGCATTTTGGTTCGATGATAAGTTTTCCCTAGGCCCGCAAGATAACAAATTATGCTATTCTATATCTTCCGAGGAAGCAATTACGAATTATGGCTAGATACAATAAGAGGGCCAGAATGACTTTGTAGTTGACACTCCATTAACTTTCATATGTGTATGCACATCTTGTGTTTGCGTTTGTGTTTGTGTGAGAGCATTTGTAAACAGAGACTCTAACACATAATGACGGTCCTAAACCTCATGTCCTTGCTTTTCATAAACCCATTCTAGATATTGTTTATTTAGGAACCAAGATTTCCTAGTTAGAGAGTCTACACACATTAACATGATGTAGAATTAGCAACATTTACAATCTAGTGTTGTTCAGAAAACATTCTGCATCTGTGATGACATGAAATTTATACATGTCACTATGAACCATTGCTTTTGCCACATATATGATTTGAATAAAGATCATTCCAGATATTTAAAAAAAAAAAATCAATTAATATTTTTTGTATAGAGATATGATCTTTAAAGAGTCCTACCGATACGTTGCCATTGAACATGGTAATTATAAAAAGGAGAGAGAAAAAAATACCTGGGAAGCAGCACTTTTAAGAACAGAAACCACATGAGACCGTACCATACCCAACGCTCGAGACTGTGTTCAAACAGAAAGTGCACATCAGTTTTTTTTTTCTCTTTTTTTCCCACTTTCCCCTTTGGTAGTGATGAGTTGAATTCATAATTCCAAACAAAGGAATGTCAAAAGAGTAGATGATCTTCACTTATGCATGACATAAACTACCGGTATCAGAGAAAAGAAAACAGGATGCATTTTAGCAGATAATGTTGATAGAAAACAACTTACCTGGAGTTGCCGAAATTTCACCAAGTAAACACTAGATTCAGCATATTGTGGATTGCTTTCCACATACCTGAGCTCATGCAAGAATTCAAACTAGGAATGAGATAACACAAGAACAAGAAACGTTTTTTAACATAACAATAAGAATTATTTACACATTTTGTTGACATTATTATTTAGTTCAAATAGGGACCGATCTTATGTATTTTCAATACACAGTAGTAGTAAGGTATTTATGGTAACTGTCCATCAAAAACAAATCTCGATATTAAAGCTCACTCCTTACCTGGTAACCTACTCATCAGGTACCCACTGCTATTTTCTGTTGTAACATTTCATCCTTCCCTATAACAATAAAAGATTAACTCTCTCTCTCTCTCTCTCTCTCTCTCTCAAGCTTCACTCCTTACCTGGTAACCTACTCATCAGGTACCCACTGCTATTTTCTGTTTTAACATTTCATCCTTCCCAATAACAATAAAAGATTAACTCTCTCTCTCTCTCTCTCTCTCTCTCTCACAAACACACACAAATCAGGCAACAGATCCACCCCACCATTATCCAAGCCTCGACCCTCCCTCAGTGGGCATCGTCAGAGTCAACAACAAAGGAGATCCTTTCCCTCATCTCTTCTGCCAAACCCAACCCACTAATCCATAACTGAATAAAAAGAAGCTCTCGACCTAAAGGAAACAAAACATAAGAGAACAAGACAATCGACCTAAGAGGTTCAGAAATGCTCACATTTGTCAAAAAAGTCATAAAAGCAACTCCTTGAATGTTTGATAGATGATCACAAAGATCAAAAGGAACACAAGAACTAATGGAAGCCCAATTCTCAACCTGGCAATAATGGGGATTCTTATTTCAAACTGTGAACAATTTATCTTATGCTCATTTAATCAGTTACACCACTTCTGCCCCATCTTACCTAAAAAAAACACCACTTCTGCCCCATCTGAATTTGGTTCAAGCCAGACTCCTCCTAGAGGAGCTCTCGCTCCTGCTCCTCAAGAAGAAGAAATGAAGGCCTCTCAATTGTATCCATTTGCTGATCCTGATGTTGGGTTGCCCCAAAAGGAAGAAACCATAAAACCCATCTGTGAGACACCATTTGCTATTTGATTTGCTTGGACCCATTGTTGTGTGAAGACAATCCAAGGCGTGATAGTCCCACCTCCTATGCAATCTGGTGATACTGTTCTTTTGCTCCCTGTTACAGAGCTACCAGCTGCAGATGTTCTTCTTCCTAAGCCAACTGAAGAAACTGTTCCAATTGTTCAGAAGCCAATCGTTAACAATGCACCTGAGCCCATTCAAGTCAAGTTTGTGCCACTTGATATCAATATTGATCAGGATGATTATACTAGTGAGTATTGTAATGATGTGGGTCTCTAAGGAGGATGTTGAAGACTGAGAATTGAGTGTGATGACTATGTTGGTTCCTTTGAGGATGTTGATAAGTGAGAGAGATGGTAATCTGAATACTCTCTCTCTCTCTCTATGTCCGTGCCTGCTTAACAGATACTTCTTTGTAAATATGGATCATTGAGGTCTCTCTCCCTGTTTAAGAGATACATATCTGTAAATCTGGATCGATGAGTGGTGGGCCAGAGAGGACACAGGTGAAAGGATGGACAAAAGGACAGGTGGAGAGAGGGAGAAGGTTACCTGGTAAAGGTAAGTTTTGATCTCAACTTTTGTTTTGGATGGACGATCACCAACTAAAATATCCAAAGACTGTATTGAAAATACACGGGAACACTCCCCTACTTCAATTTAATTGTTTGTCTTAAAGTCCAAAAATTGAGAAGTTAGTTTTAACACAATAAACTTTAAATGAATATAAAACAAATCAACTTTGTCACTTACGAAATGCACTCATCAAGTCGTTTCAATAAAGGAAGGAAATGTCCACTTCCGACATTCATGTTTGTCGAGTAAAAATTTGTAGCGACCTGAAATCAAGCAAAAAAGTATTGGAAGATTAATAAATGGGAGACATTCATATGCAAACATACATAAACACATATAGGCAAAACTGCAAGGTATAGAGATACTCATATGCATAAATTTACACAGCTCTACACAAAGCGTGCAGTAATGCATGATACTTTCATACATTAAGTGCACCTCATGCCCACATGTACATGTGCCAATGATTATAAGGCCTATACAAGGCACAAAAATATTTCTTTCTAAATGTAACCATGTAGAACACTAAATAGTTTTTCTAAAAATTAAATGTGTAGAAACCGTTAAGATATTTAGATAAACCTTACGTTCTCCAATTCATCAAAATAGTTAAGCTTGCTACGAAGAGCTTCTGCAAACTGAACCAACCTCTCCTTTTCCATAACCTACAATTCAAAGAAAGCAAACCTCAGGAATGACAGCCATATAATTAGTAGAACAGTACGAGATATTGAAATTTCCCATGAAAATTTGCATGGCTTGAAGTCATCGATGTCATTGAAATACTATTAAATGGCCCACCTTCTACATAGAAGAGAACAGGAAACCAGATGCAATAAAGTAAGTGAGTAATACCAATAAAAAATACAGCTTCTAAAATAATAATGTGTAACATTGAAGGTTAAAAATAAACAAACCCAAGCAAACAAGCATCCCTGCCCTCCATTCTAATTTTATCGCTCGCTTGAAAATGACATTGCATGAGCTGCAAATACTGCAGTTAAAGTAACACTTCAATGAACATAGCAAAAGGATGGAAAGTTTTTGAATAGACAGCACCATGGATAGCATCAGTATGCATCTTCATACATAATCAGAGGAGACTTCTAAGCCTTGTTATGAGCACTAGAGAATCTTTTCGGTCTTTTACTTGGACGTGTGTAAGGTTTTAAAATTAGCCGGACTAAGACAAAGTCTATAGAACGCAAGTTTAGTAATAATAGGGGTAGAGACGAGAAAGTAGTTAAGATTGATGGCCAAGAAATACCAAAAAGAGCGCACTTTCGATATCTTGGGTTGATGATCCATGAAAATAGAGAGATTATGATGTCGCACATAGAATTAGAGTTGGGTGGGCGAAGTGGAGATGTGCAACCAGAGTTTTATGTGATTGCCACATATCAATGAAGTTGAAAGGCAAGTTCTATAAGACAGCTGTGACACCAACTTTACTTTATTGGGCGGAATATTGGGCGGTCAAGAAACAACATATCCATAGATTGAGTGTAGTTGAGATGAGAATATTGAGATGGATGAGTGGAAAGACAAGAAAAGATAGAATTCGAAACAGTGCTCCAAAATATGTTGGGCGGCGCCTAGGTGGTTGTGGGGGGGGGGGGGGCGGGGGTAGGGTGCCCGCCCAGCACCTAAGCGGCCACCCAGAACATGGGCGACCTAGAACCATAAGAAAAATAAGAAAATAAGAGAAGATAAGGAAAAAGAGTAGATAGTAAATAGTCCATAATGGCATAATCCATATTTTTATACAATGATAAAATCATACAAGCACACACAAGAGTAGATAGTGAAACTAGAAAATAAGAAAAAGAAAAAATATATACAGTCTAAAACACAACACCAAGAGTCAAGTGTCTTCAGTCATCATCATCAAGAGGAGTAGAGTAAGCATCATCGGATTTGAGAACATCATCATCAGAATCATCTCCCTCTTCAACATAACGCTCGTCCTCTTCTGTTTCTTCTTAATCCTCCTCTTCCCCCTCTTCTTCTACTCCCCTCTTACTCTATGCAGATGAGGCCCTAGGAGTCTTGATTGCTCTACCTGGTGCCTCTTCACACTTTTCTTGTTTTTTGTGTTTCACTGAACTCAAACATTGTTTAATCGCCTCTCTGATAACCTCATAAAACATCTTTACCCAAGGCAACATCCCCCTTAATACCAACAAGGTGTTTCTTGAACCGATAAATACCCTTTTTAGAATATTTTCCACAATAATTACACCTTATACAATTTTTGTCATTTGGATTCAGGATCACCACTTCTAAAAGAACCTGGAGAAGATATTTGCATATAACAAGTTTCATATTTTTCCTTTTCTGGTTTTACTAAATTCATATATTGTTTAATCTCATACGTAATAGTTTCAGGAACCTTTTTACAAGAAGCAATATTTTCTCAAATTGGTTAATACCCCCATTAGTATCTTTTTCACAAAAATTGCACCTTATACAATTTTTATCATTTGGTTTCGTGTTATAACCATACTTCCAATCCGGATCACCTCTTCCAGCATAACCAGAAATAGACCCATCCAAATGACAAGGATTTTATTCTTGTTTGTGTTTTAATGAACTCATATAGTGCTTAATCGCCTCTCTTATAGCTTCAATAACATTTTTACAAAAGCAACATTCCTCCTAATACTGGAAAATTGTTTCTTCAACTAGTTTATGCCCCCTTTTGCATCCTTTTCATAATAATTGCATCTTATGCCATTCTTATCTACAGGATTTGGGTTATAGCCATCTTTCTAACTCAGATTACCACTTCGATTAGATCCTAAAGAAGACATCTCAAAATAATACAAGCAATCTAAAAAAATAAAATTTTGCACTTACTTTGATTGCTTGATCTCCAAACTTCCACCTTTGGAATGTTTTCTAGTGTCAAAATCTTCTAAATCACCCTCTAATAGGCCTAAAAAAACTCTAAAACTAAATTCAATCTCAATAGGTGATATTTGGATCGATTTCTTGTGACTTATCGAAATCCTTCGATCCTATGAAAATCACAAAAAAAAACTAGCTTTTTTTTTAGGTTTTCTTCTCTCTAAAATGTGCCCCAATGGGGTTACGTTTTAAATGAACTTAAAACCCAAAAAAAAATCCAAAAATGCTCTTAAAAAAGGGGCATTTCCTCCCCTAAGCAGGGAGCAGGCCCTGGGAAGCCGCCCAAGGCTAGACACTGAGGACCCGCCTAAGCGGGTGCCCTACCGCTTGGATGGGCCGCCTAGGCCTAGGCAAGGCACTCAAGCCAATGTTGCCAGATTCGCTCCGAAGTCTTCTTCAGTTTGGTGAGAAAAATAAAGCAATTCGGTGCTTCGGCCGATCTAGGGGAAGACTTCGAACTTTTTTTTAATTTAGTGTAAATAAATTAGATATTTATATATACAAATAATGGAAAATTTTAAATAAAAAAAAATTAAAAATTATATTTTTATATAGTTATTTCTTTGCAGGCCAAAGTAGACTCGAAGTATACCCGAATCTAACCGAAGCACCTCGAATCTAGCCGAAGCAACAGCACTAGGCCTCGCTTCTCTTTGGTTTATGCATAAAATCCAAAGGCTTCGACATCTTCAGCTGAAGCAAAGCGAATTTGATAACATTAGCCCAGGCCCTCTGGACTGTCAAGGCATTGGGCGGTCCGCCTTTTGGAGCAATGATTCGAAATAAATACATTCAAGAATATTTAGGTGTGGCATCAATAGACGATAAGATGAGAAAAAGTAGACTTAGGTGGGCTGGCATGTGTAGTGCAGTCCTAAAATAACACTTGTTAGGAGGTGCGAGTTAGTTCAAATAGAAGGCTCAAAAAGGGCAAAGGGTAGGCCAAAAGGACATGGTTGGAAGTAATGAGAAAAGATATAGAGACTTATGGCCTCATTGAGGGTATAGCCCTTAATAGAGCAGAATGGTGGACCAGGATTCATGTAGCTGACCCCAATTAGTTGGAAAAAGGCTTCAATGATGACTTGAAGGTGGGTAAGTAATGGAATTCGAACCAGGGATGTTGCAATTCAACCTTAAGTACCCTGATCACGGAGCTCAAATCTCACTTGGGATGTTGCAATTCAACCTTAAGTACCCTGATCACGGAGCTCAAATCTCAATTCCCAATCTCTCTTTTTCTTTTGATAATTTCAATATGGAATCTTAATTAGATAGATTTATTTACTCCTTACAATTGCAATCACCAAATCATATGCCTGATGACAGTAGTATTCCCCTTAACATCCCCCCCCCACCCACAAAAAAAAAACAACCCCAAACTAAAAAAATAATAAAATAATTAAAAAAGAAATAAAGAAAGATATAACTATGCCTAAAGACTATACGACAAAAACTAGAATATATCAATTATATAATTTGTTGAATGGATTACAGACAAGAAACTTTATTTGTCAATTACACCACCCTTTAGTAGGATATATGCCTTAAACCCAAATAACAGAGTGAATTAGTGATGCATTGAGAAAGAACAAAATATTTGCTATTTAGACAATATATGAGACGCATAAGAATTAAAATGTGCCCTCACCCAGCCAGTAATGCAGTAACACAACCAGAAAAGAACCCAATAACAATGAAGCAACAAATGCTCAATCCTGCTCCCATTACCAGCATCTCCAGGAACATCTACTGGAAGTAGAAAACTTCTCTGCTGCTGCTGATTATTGACCAACTCGCCAAATCAGTTATAAAGCACCGAAAGATGTCCATGTGGCCCCAACAGTACACAGGCATATGTTTACCCTCTCAAGGCATCAAAAGCAACCAAGAACCTCATTCACAACCAAGAAGAAAGAAAGCAAACAGTAACAAAAGTATTTTTACTCAATGTGAACAGTCCTTTTACTGCATTCTCACCAGCGGTACTATCTATCCATTCAATAGGAAAAAAGTCCCCTAAAGTAAGATGATCACACTCACAAGGCATTCTCCTAATGTGTCTTGGATGAGATGTACGATTTATAAAATTCAAAAAAAATCTAAATAAAAAAGGATGCGAAAGTAAGGATTTGAATGTACATACTAGTCGTTCGCATGCATCATGCAAGGTCTTAGTCTTTGTTGCAACGGCCTGATGCTGCAGTTGTAGATCATCAAACAAACTCAATGTGTCATCGACCTGCATTCACATAAGTAGAATAACTTTAGTGTAGGAAAGTAAAATCATGACCATCTAGCTCAAACATTAAACTGGGTCTCAAAAACATAAACTAAGATTACAGTATCAATATAACTTGATATTACATAGAGAATAAAATCAGCCATACTTGAGAAAGAATTCCATCACATGTTTGTATACGTTCTGTCAAGGTGTTGACATACTGCCGATACTTCTCCTCAGTCTATGCAATGGAAGAAAAACTCCAGTTATTAAAGTGTTTGTTTCTAAAAAGCTAGAAATTATCCAAAAAAAATGAGAGGAATATGACTGACCTCTGATTTCATAGCTGATTCGAGACTAGTGAACCATTTATAGAACTACACAAAAAGAGAGTAAAATCAGCAACCATCACACAACGAATGTAAAGATAACAAGTAAGTTGACTCATAAAACCAGAAACCTCGAGGATAAGAGGAGCAAGATAAGCTCCCTCACTTCCTCCCTCCATCCATGCATGCATGAACATGTGCAAGCATGGGCACATCACACAACACCCGCGCACACACGTACACATGTGCACACCCACCAAGTCATACATAATTTCCTAGAAAATATGTTCAAGGAAAATTCATAGAATCCAATAAAAGTTAAAATAAGTACAGACTTAAAAATCTCAATAAAAAACTCTGGAAAGCCATAAAACACGGTTAAATATCATAACTAACAAAAAAGAAAAAAAAAAAATTTCAATAAAGGCATGAAACAACTCTTTCAATAAAAAGAAAGAAAGAATGCATCGAACTAGTTTTTACAATAAATTATCTAAAAAGAAGAAGGAAAAAGCCCTTTATCCTAAGGAGAGGAGAACAAGCAGCTTGCTAACAAACATTCCATAATTTCATGGAAATGCATCACTAAAAAATCCCTTACTTTCCATTTAATCAGAAAGAGGTTTCCCCATAGAATGTAAACACTAATATTTTCTAGATACTGTAATTCAAGAATAGAAAAGAGAATGGGTAAGTTAAGAAGTGAGGTGGTTAGATCCTCAATAAGGCTTATGAGGCCTTAAATAAAGCAAAAACCATTAACGATTTTCTATTTAAAATGAATGGCAACTAGAAATAAAAACAATGACGAACTTGCTAAAGTTAAGCTCAAGCCAATCAAATAAAACTTAACCCAACTAGAAATAAAAACAATGATGAACTTGCTAAAGTTAAACTCAATCCAATCAAATAAAACGTACCCGTTATGATATAATAACATGCGTGTCAAGCATGTTTCAAAGCGTCTAAAATAGATGCGTTCATCATGTGTCTTGATAGATGCGTTCATCATGTGTCTTGACACGTGACTAGACATGACTCAGAAGTGGATATTCATGTCAAACATTGTTCGTATATTCCAAAGAATAGCTAAGGTCCTGCATGACTGTACATACCTATGATCAGGGCTGATACCCATTGGTTCCACAAAAACGTTTTCAAGCCAACAGTGGAAGAACAGACATCATGTCCTAAATGACTTGCCTAGGCTGGGGAAAAGACCAAAGTTGCAGTCACCTATATAACCATTATAACCAAGGGGAGGATGATTTTTTGACCTTATAACCATTAGGCGCAATTTGAGAGCGGCCTTGATAAGCCCTCAAGATGCCTTGGCTGAAAACAAGATAAGTGCAAGCCCTTGGTGAAAGTATGAGTGGCTGAGACTTGGAAGCACACCATTTTGCTTGTGTAAAATACAATTTCCAAGGGTGAGGTTTGTATAAGGTGCCCACCTTATACTCAATGTTCAAAAATGTGGATTCGGGTGCCTAGGCATTTTGGGTGCCTGGCCGCCTAGGTGCCCGTCCACCTGGCCGCCTAGGTGCCCGTCCAAAGACAGGGGGCCCTCACCAAAATTCAACCCCCCCCACCCCCCGCCTCAAAAAAAAAACAAGGGAATTCTTAGGGCATGGTTTGAAGTCTCTAGGAGTTTTTAGGGAAAATTTTAGAGCCCCAAACTCCTCGTGAAATAGACGAAACTGTAATAGTACAATCACATAACAGATTTACAGATACAAGTCTCAAAGAGATTATAACTTGTAAGACATAAAAATGTTTGAAATCCCAAATATCATTGTAGGAAACTAGAAGTCTGAACTAGAAATGATACACAAAGTCAACAAGACAAAATGAAAAAACAAATACATCAAGTCATCAACCAAACATGTAAATATATTGTAAAAAAAAAAAAAAGTAAAAGAAAAAACACATGATTCGCAACATAATATGTTCGAGCAAAATAAAATCAAAACCCTCTTCCAAATACGATAATACTTTAAAAATATCAAAATCAAATCGATGTCGTTGCATACTTCATCTATTGGGTCGCCAAAAGTCCTCAAAAGCAACTACTAGAAGCTCTAAATCCACCCACGAACTATTGTCTTTGTTTTGGGAAGAAATCGCAATCAAAACTTTATCGATCTTTCGATAAATCACAAAAGAGTAGTTTTTTAGGGAGTTTTTCTCACCCTAAAAGCTACGGTTTTTGTTTTGGGATTTAGAATACCCCCCAAACCCTTTTTCCCCCCTTTCTAAAGGAGAAAACTTGACATTATTTTTACCCTCGCCGAGGCTTTTTTCGCCCTTCCGCAAATTGTCACTAAGCAGCGCCGAGACTGTAGCGCCCAAGTGGGCGCCTGGAGACAGGCCACATAATTCCACCACCCAAACAGCGCCTAGGCAGTTTTTGAAATTTTTCGCCTAGGCAGTCGGGCAGCCAAATTTTCAAACACTGCATATACTGTACATGTAAGGTGGAACCTCTAAATTTTGTCAGAACATGTAGTTCTAGTGTCGGATATGTGTCCAAGTGCTAAGATGAGAAGAAAAAGCAGATAACAGGAAGGCATAGCTATTAATTTAGAGTTTCTCTTTTCATGAGTGTTCAGAGTAGGGATGGCTTGCTATGAACATGGATTCAAATCTAAAACTAACGATTGGAATAAAGACCTTCCTAGCCACAACATCATATGGTAGAAAACAACAAAAAGGTGCCATTTTCACACCATAAAGCCAAGCAGTCTCTCATTGACAGACCTGGAGGTCCACATGAAATTTGTAATCAGTTACATGGAGTTCTGTACAATTAAGATTGAGCAAGGCACCTGATGACTATTAACCAAAACTGCTTCTATGGGCCATGGAGTTTCCAACGAATTGTCCTTTGTGTAAACTGATGTGCTATTTTCCTGCTTTACAATCTGCTCTTGTGACTGCACGAATAAACATGCGCATCAACTATTAAACAAGGAAACAAATAAAAGCAAAAGGTAAGTCAATGTCAAAGGCATATGGTACACATGGAACGAACTAATATTAGAGAAGACACTCCAAATAGTTAACATTGCATTCTCTATAAAGATGATGAGACCGAAAATAATTGTGAAGGTGGTGATATCAATAGAAACAAGCCAATATAAGGAGAAAGTTTGTATAAGGTTGACACCTTAAATTATAGAATTAAGGTGCACCTAAAATGCTTCGAAAAAAGTTGTTTTGATGTTGGAAAAACATCTAATTAATCATATCGACGTTGAGATGCATAGCTACAGAAAAAAAAAAAAGAGAGATTTCAAGTGCTGAAAATAGTACATCTTGCAACACAATATCCGGACTGTCCATTTTCAAGTTTTTCATGTGTTTATAGAACTGCTTGATTTGAACTATTTTTGGAGTTTAAAATTTTATAATTAGAAATAAAAAATAGATTTTTGCACCATCTTAAGAATTTTCGACACCAAAATTGCATCTCAACAAAGTTTGGAGTGCACCTTACTTTAAAGGTTACAACCATATGGAAACCACAGCCCCAATATAAATGCTTACCACATTCGATGGAAAGGGTCGCTCTGTGACTGCGTGTGAAAGTGCAATCACTGCTGCTTTTTCTTGCTCCGTTAAAGGAGCATTCTGAAAGAAAGAACAATGAGTAAGGATGTAGTCAGCTCTAATAAGCAACTTTGTATCCCACATAAAAATGATTTTTTACTAAACCACGTGAATAGAATGGAAAGTTTAAAATTCTATAAGTTAATGCTAAGAATCCTTAGTAACAAGAAGGTAGAATAAATGTAAACTTTGGATCTTATCAATTGAAATCCTTAGTATTCTCTTTAATCAATTGGACCTTTAGTAAAAAGTGAAGCAGCTTATGGAGGAATGGTGCTTTTTGGGGATGCAGTTCCAACTTCAAGCCAGTTCAAGGGTTCCCAAAAAAAATCTTAGTGCCTAAGAAAGCTTATATCCTAGCAACTACACCTTTATAGTAGAGTATATCATCCTATTTATAATTTAGGTTATTTATCAGAGAAAAACTTTAAAATGAATGGCCAATTTATTTTCACTCCCTTTTTATGATTATTTCTCCTGCCTTTTCTTCCTTCTTATCAGACCTACAATAATTGCTACTGTACAGAATCAGATCAGAAACAAAACCTCAAGGTCCAAGCATTGCCATTTTACATTTCAGAAAGAAACTCATCAAAATCAATTTCCTTAAGATGATTAATGACAACTATTTCAAACTGGGACATATCATCAAAAATGGAAGTTCACTTCATCATAGAAGTCAGTACAAATAAGTCTCACAATCGCATTTTGTAATAAAATTCGATGTAACTAGACTTTATCAATTGATACCAAACATGACTAAAACACAAAATTCATGAAAATGGAGCCCCATTTAACCATGAAATACAATAAATCTAGGTACCAAATAAATTCATCACGTAATATGTTAAAACTTGTCACACTAAAAAGATTCACAGGAATTCTACGGCTCATCACAAAGACAACTATCGGACTGTAATGTGAAGATCCATGAAAACACAGCTCCATTTACATGCATATTTAAGCTTCATTGTATAAATAAAAGCAGAAATTCGAACTGTAAATTGAAGATCTGTGAAAAATGGAGCAGCATTTCTCTGTAAATATTGGTGAAATTAGGATTTATTAGAGTGATGAAAAAGGGAAATTATGATACCTGCTCCCATGAAGAAGCGAAACCGTAACCTTTGGAAACAGCAGCTGATGATTTGCGAAGAGGAGTCACAGGGCTCGCTCTGCCCGCCATCGCCAAACACCAAATCTGAATTTCGTTTCGTTCCGCTTTCGTTCGGCTCGGGCATTTATATACGGATGGATTTCTATGAGGTAGCCGATCCATACTGTACATATGCTGAACCCACGTAAACCTATCTTGAAAATAGATTTTTAATCCAAAATTATAAGAATTTATGGCCAACGTTAAGGTGATCATAAATATAAAATAATATAATTTTTTCTAACATATAATTTTTTCTAACATTCCAAAAGTAATTTTTTTTAAAGAAAATTTTGACACCTTCTAAAATTCATTTTAGCACTGTGGGTGTTTTTTGTAAACGTTGGTGAGTCAGCTCGCTCTTACACCCGAGTAACTTTTCCCTCTTAAGGATGTATCGTAGTTAAAAGATTATATGCTCCTGCGGATCATACTGTCCATTTACGATCGCTCATGGGAGAACCCAATCTCGGTGTATTTGGTTTAAGGACTCCAAGTTCCCGGCAAATAACAACCCCCCAAACAAAAACAAAAATAAAAAAAATAAAAAAAGACAACTTTAAATCATATTATGTGCCTCAAAAAGCCATACCCAATCGGGAGATTAGATTAATTGTTAAAAATTAAAAATCAATTTTTAAAAAGGAAATTTACGAAAAGGTGCAGTTTGTATAAGATTGTATCCTTAACTAATCAAAATAAGGCGCACCTCCAAACTTTATTATAAAATGTAATTTTAGAATCGAAAATTCTTTAGAAGGCTCGGGACTCTATTTTTTATCTCTAATTATAGAATCTAAATTTCTAAAAATAGTTCATATTAAGAAAATCTATAAGGGCAAGTTTTCTATGCTTCCCCTACAGCATACAACTTACTTCCTCTTATCCAACCGTCCATTATGAATTTGAGGGCTAAGATTGCCCCAATCACAATCTCACGTCTCTACACTATTTTATTTTTAACCATTTTCCATAAACTATTTTGATACCCTCTAATAAACTCGCACTAGCGAAAAATATTAAAAAAATATTTCCAATAAAATAAAATAACCAAAATACCCAGGAAAGTTTCAATGGGTATTTTGGTTATTATATTTTATCGAAAAATTATTTTTAATATTTTTTTATAGGTGTGCCCCAATGAGAAGATGGCACATACCAAATTTTATATTCATACAATTTATATAAAAAAATAAAAATAAAATATTTTGAGACGATGGATCTAAGATCAAACGGTGAGATGCTCTCTTGATCAAAATTGGACGGTTGGATGGTAGGGGAAGTATAGAAACCTTTTCCAATCTATAAATGTATGAAAATCTTTAAAATACAGTCCAAATAATATGTTACAAGATGTATTATTTTTGGATAGGGACTTTTTTTTTCCCATATCCATACATCTTGACATCAAGATAATCAATTAAATAGTTTTCGAATGTCAAGACAACATTTTTTTTGATAGATTTTTTAGATCCACCTTAATTCTGCAATATAAGGTGTGAACCTTATATGAATTTTTTTCCTTTATTGAAATACCCATAAGATACTATGAACTATTTAACATTTTAGCCATAATTTCAAATTCATTAACATAACATACATGATAATGAGTTGGAATAGCTGCAAATATGTAAATTGTTGAAGAGTATTATTTCATGATAAATTTTCCTTTTTACAATAATCATATGTTGATATTTAGGTGGATCCAAAATTTCAAAAAATAAACCCTCCTTGGCCACTCTTTTACCTGAGAAAGTAAATATGCGGTATGCTCCTGCGTGAGATGTAACGAACCGAGCCTTTATCTAATATGACCAACATGCCCCTACCCTCAAGTGGCATGTTTGAAATTTCCTATTTGTTTCATTTTCTTTGCGTTTTAATTAAATTTCAATGCCTATAAATTTTGTTGAGAGAGTTTCCTCTAATAGTTCTTCAATTTGGAACATTCTTTATCAAAATACTTGAAGAGAATTGAATAAAAAAAAAAAAAAGACCATTGATAGACATGTTTGAAACCAAGTTTCACACATTTTTATTAAGGAGTAGTTATTTTTACTTCTTTTTGTTGCTGTTTTTTTATTGTTCTTTTCCACAAATTAATGGAGATCCATCTTTTGTAGATATACTCCTACTTATAAAGAGTTTAATATCTTATTAATATCTTATTGATAAAATCATAATTGAAATTACCGATAAAATTAAATCAACTAGAATCATAAAAGAGTGAAAATTACAAAACTATAAGAATGAATAAGAAAACTTACCAACCAGCCTCACAAACTTGGCATTCAGAGTTTAGGCTTGAATTAGTTTTATTAAATTTTGTATTTGTGGTCTCCAACTTAAAAGAAGACTTGAATATTGATTGTTGTTGTAAAATTTAATTATAAAATTAAATTTAGGATTTGAATTAGTTTTGAGGATGAGCAAATAGATCGGATGAGTAAATATTGATTATTGTTGTCATTTAGGATTTTTCCTGGTTGCAATTACTTTTCATATTGTGAAACATTGGTTGGAGAATTATTTTCAATTGGTTCTTCGTAGTATCATCATCATACTTTTTTTCCCTCATTAAAGTCAAATTTATTTGGTTTTCAGTTTTATTTTTTTATTTTTTTAGTATTTTAATTTTATATGCTAATTATTTTATATTTCAATTTAGTATAAATATGAAGTATCAATAGCAAATCTTCTTGGTGTTAGAGTTTTGCATGACTGCCATTGACTACTATCAAAAGTTGTACTAACATTCTCTATTTATGATTCCACCTGCACCGCACCCCATCTCTCCATTATATGAATTTTATTTTTGCTCAAGTTTTTCATTGTTGATAAAATCTCCTCCTACTAAGAACTCGATGTTACGTCCTCTTTGATAGAAATCCATGTGCTTTGAAATGAATTTATTGTTTTAGTATATTTCTAACATTTATTATTAGGATTTTGTTTGTAAGTTATTTCAGTTTCCACTATGTAATAATATAAATAAGAAAAAATAAATCTTGAGAAATATGTTTATCCCACTAAAGAATAAAAGTAAGAAATGTTTATACGATATGAGGAATTGAACCCCCCAAAGCTCACTAGACTGATAATTCCATGTAGTGATACATATAGGAGAGACACAATACATTGTGTGACCAGTGTATGTCTTATCTTTTTTTTGACAAATAATCAGTGTAATTCTTATCTTTGTACTTTTTTCTTTGGCATATTAATCGAATGGGTGGGAACCTAATAGTTTAGCGAACAAAAAAAATAAAAAAATAAAAATAATTTAGGTTTTTAGCGAGGAATATATTGGATTTAGTGCTATCCAAAATCACCCATATTCCGACATTACGTGGGATTGAGATATTCTAATATTATATGGGGATAGAGATATTTTTTTATTATGTGATATTGATATTGATAAGTTTCTTAAAGAAAATAGAAATCTAAAAAAAAATTATGACTCTTTTCTAGATATATGTATCATCAATACAAAGTTTTCTATTTATATATATAGGATGAAAGTGCATAGAATTTGTATTCCCTATTTGGGTCACCATATAGGAATATTAGTTCCTCTAGAGAGAGAGTGACCATAAGGGAATATTGGTTCTTTTTGAGAGAGAGGGAGGGCAGGGCATCCTGTGCTTAAGATGCAAGGTTTCCTCTTAGATAGAAGAGAGCTTCTTACGGAAAGAAAACATTAAGATAGTGACTCTTATAGACTCTCGAAGATTGAGAGCCTTGTTTTTTTGTAGAGAATCGGTTCTCATTAAAATTTTGAGTGATTTCCCTTTTAGTTAAAGAGAAAGTCAGTTTTTCGTTGCTCTCGCGTCTCTCTCAGGTGTTGTCGATATCCTCCCCAATCCGTCAGATTTTTCTTTAAAAGGCTAGTGGTGGGGGGCCTTGCTTATAGGTTTCCTTCCCTTTTTACACTGAACCTTTGATCTTTTTTTTGAAAGGCTAGCAGCGGGGGGCCTTTTAAGGGCTTCCTTCCCTTTTTACACTAAACATTTGGTTTGTCTAAGTTGCTTTAGATAGACAACCGAGGATGGCCCTTAGTGGGGCATATGAACTACTTCACCAAGACTTGGACTGATGACAAATGGGTATCTCTTTGGGGGCTTACACCCAATATACTGAGCTTAGGTAGGGGCTCTTTGGTGACCGTCTTGAAAGTCTAGACCTATTGGCAATGGGAGCCTTAGTAAGATGGTCCCTTTGGGGGCTTACACTCAATATATCGAGCTAAGTCAAGGGCTCTTTGGTGGCCATCCAGAAAGTCTAAACTTATCGGCAATTGGAGCCTTAGTAAGACAGTTACCCTCGGAACCAGGGCATTGATCTAGGCTAGGCAATCAATTGCCTTACTAAGAACTTCTATCTCGGAATGCCAACGTGTTCTTCTTGTTTTTGGTTGACGTCTTGGATTGGAGAATCCATTCAACAAATAGCTATCTTGTCTTGCCATCTTGATGATTCTTCTGATATTCAGAGGGTCCTCAACAAGGTTGACCCAAGTTGCTGAATTTTTCTTAAGCTCTGTGTTTTTTGGTTTCGATGGTAAGGTACCCATGAGGGGTATTGATTCCTAAACTACCAAATTTTTGCTATAATTAGTTAAAGCCGCATTGATCAAATGCCGCATCAATCTGTTTATTAGTCCAGGTGACATTTCAGGTTTTCACTTGAACTAGATAGAAGTGGTGTCGCAGAACGGTTTTCACTAACTTCCTCTCTTCTTCTTTTTTTGAGGCTCTTTTATCTGTGACTTTGATGTCACGTCCACTTTCTATTTCCATTTTTACTCATGGTGCCCTTTCAGGTTTTCACCATACCTAATTTTCTATTTTAGAACATTTTTACTCTTGGCTTCATGGTCATGCTCATCTTTCAGTTTTACTCATGATGCCCTTTTGGGCTTTCACCATACCCAATTTTTATTTTAGGTGATCTTACATTCGCTTTGTGGCAATGTCCGCCTGAAGCTCCCACTTTTACTCATGATGATCCTTATCGGAAGCTCATCGTACCCGGTTTCTTTTTTTTTA